TCCTATTTATCTGAAGCAGTTGAGTCGTGCCATAGATTGATCACTGCATCACCACTGCCAGTTGCAAGCATTTCTGTTTTCTTACCAATAGCCAGGGCCCATATCTGGATTACCAGTTAGAGGAGAAAAACATCATATTAATTAAGAAAATGCTCTATTATAAGAGAATAGGAGATGACATAAATACTTGATTACCTTATCATCATGTTGGTCAAATGTTGCGATACACTCTTCGTTCCTAACTGTCCACAACTTAATGAAACCATCAGAATCTGGAGAGACGGCCATATCTTTTAGCAAAAGTAGGTAGTGAGAAACAGAGAAATCAACACTATAATGGTTTCGGGATGTCATTGTTACCACAAGAAACAAGCTGGGTTCCACGGGTAAGAAACGATGCTCTTAACAAACTTGCTCTATGCCCTTTAAATGTTCTTAGACATGATCTATCAGATATGGCCCATATCTTTATGTTAGCGCGCAATGATCAAGTGGAGAAAACTCCAGAGACCATATCCCCGTTTTATGCCCTTTCAGTGTAACCACTGACACTAGGGGTGTGTTTGGTATGAAGGAAATTGTTTTCCATGGAAAATGTTTTCCACTGACACTGGAAGGCTCCATATGCAGGCCGTGTGATCCTAGTAAAATATGACGAGATCAGAAAATATACAAGAAGCAATTTCGTCTCCTTTGGCAGATTTTTATGCCAAGATTTAATAAGATGTCAACCTGGGAACCACTGCAAACAAGACTGTCATTTGGTGCTACTGCCAAAGAGTTAATATCCTTGTCATGTGCTGCTACAACTGCTTTTGCTTTCAGAGTTATAATTTCTTCATTGTTGCCAGTGACACCGTCCATATTCCATACCTTTAGAGTACGGTCACTGGAAAAATGTAGAAAGATAAAAGATATAACTTCTAGAAAATATGATAAAGAAACATTTAGATTAGTTTGCGTTAAGATTTCAAGAGAAGAATCGAGTCATAGGATGACGAACAGGAAAATCTAAACCTATCGACGTCGAATTTCCCTTCCATTTGTTTGAGCTCTTAGATCGACCTATTTTGAATAGAATTCAGCTCGTTAAAGGGAGACTGAACCTTAGAGCTCAATAGAAGAGAGATCTTTAATCTCATGTTTTTGGTTGAAATATGACGTAGGGTTTTATTCCTCAGAATCTTATTTGCACTCAACCAGTAAAAGAAATATCAACTCAAGTCAGCAGAACCAAGGGCAAACTCGATTCAGTACTAAATCTTCATTCGCAGTACATAATACAAATATCAAACAAGCAGAATCATCATAGTGGCATAACTAGATTAATAAAAGAGGAGCGCATGTTTATACATGCATATGCAGAAGAAGGATATGACCACTGCAGAGTTCAGGGATAATCACTTACCTACTACCACTAACGAAGAAGTTCTGTTGTTTCTTTGATAAAGCAACAGCACCAACAGCTCCCATGTGACCTATGCCTATGCCAACACAAGCCTTGTTCTCGCAATCCCATAACCTAACCTATGGAAACACCAGAATTAAGAATAGCAGAAAAAAAAAGATGTTATTATTGAATAGTGAAGCAAGCCACCACATTTTAGGAGATTGAAGCAAAAAAAAATAAAAATTGAACAGAGAATGCTTGAGAAGTTCTGAGTTTCTCGTCACACTATGATACATGTTGGCAACTATTTTGACTACGTTGAACATTCGATCATCTTAAAAACACTAAATTGATTCTCAAGTACCTATCAGAACTCCATATCCGTAATAATCTACGCTCACCAACAGTGATGAAATTAATTGATGGTACATCACCTCTTCTTTGCCTGTGGATTTTTTGATGAAGCTAGACCTGCAGCAAAAGGAGAGTCTGAACCAATCATACACACGGTTTCAACTGACTCAAGTGTTGGTATGGTGGTCAGGCAGCGGTAGTCGTGCAAGTTACACAGATTTACAACCTGTCATTTTTATCAGTATAAGTATCAGCAAGTGCCACAAATGACGTTAAACGTGTTCCGAACTAGAAAAGAAAAAAAGAAAGCGTCAAACACTAGTAACTATAGTTTGATTGATGTTTCTCTAGTTTTGCCAGACATTTCTCTTTTACATACTATCAATACACACCCATACTATCAATGTACATGTAAGTGAATCTATGTGATATAGCAAAATACTTCCACAAAAAGTTATTCAAAACTAATCAGAATAAGGGAAGCCCAATGGACCAAGAAAATGGCAGCTGTATTCTGGTTTCGCCAGTTATCTGAAAAATCAGACACAATTTGTAATATTGACAAGGAAGCACGCACAGTAGTTACGTCAATCCAGATCTCACCTGCAGCCGGTTCGGGTCAGGATGGAACATAATGCTGGTGAAAACTCCTTTATGACCTTCGAAATGATGAGTGCAGAAGCCCCAATCCACATCCCATACACGAACTTTTCCGTCAGCCCCTCATGTTGCCAGCAATCCACCTGATGCATCACAAGCCATCCCCATCACAGGTCCTTCATGCCCCTGTAAACGCCACTTGTCAGCATTCGAGGTTTTCATTGTTCTTTTACTTTTTCAAGTCTCTTGTTCCCTGAGAAGCTTATGTTTAACTTTTTCACTCGAAACTACAACTTTGTTATTTCATTCTAAAGATATTTAGAGAACTATCTCAGAGCGTCACTCAACTATGAATACTTATTTTTGAAAATAACTAAAATATGGATAATTTCATTAGAAAATCACTTAAATATGGATAATTTCTTAGAAAGTCACTCAATTTATTTTATAATGTAGAAGTCACTCAACTAAAGGTAAATTTCTTGGAAAGTCACTCAACTATATATTGTAATTTCACATAGAAAGTCATTCAATTAATTTAAATATTTTATAAGGCGCGTGTGTAGAAACACAACCAATTTGGGTGGTTGACAGGGGCGGAGCTACAGTGTTAAATGAGGGTTCGGACGAACCCACTGACTTTTACGTAGACCCTATATGTAATTGTACCAAGTATGAATTGCTTGAATGAAGTTTCTATCTTGTTGTTTACGTCCAGTCTTGAATTTCACTGATAGTTATCCTTTTATTGTTCTTGCAGTTGGAGCTTGTTTGTCGGGTATCAACATTACTATTGCAACTTCATCATCACCAGTTGATTTCAACTGCCTCCGCTAAACCCCTAGTAATCCGTCTAGAAGATATTATTCCTCCAAAAGTTAAGGTAATTTTGATGAGTACATTTGCTACGCAAAGTTTAAACTGTTGAGCCATGTCCACGACTTCCATTCTAATATCGTTTTATAAACTAAGATTGTAAATGGAGAACAACTTTTCTCGATAAGGGAATCTATTTTTTGACATGAATTCACGTCTGACTACCACAGGAACTCAAAGATTTCATTGGTGTCAACCTTGCTAAATTGCATCATATCAAGGTAGCTCATCTTTTGTGATTTTGATTTTGTCAACGTCTTTTCCAAGTTCATAAGGATGTGTGATTAGACTATTTCTGTTTTCCTCAGCAATTAAAAGCTTCAAAGTCGGATGTTGTATTTCGAGATGAAAATGTAGGAAATATAGAAGGAGAATACTTTCTTTAAAAGATGCTCAAGTTTTATATAGGCTACTTAAGGCCACTTGAGATGATTACAATCATCAACTACATCACTTTTTATACTACTCAAAATAGAAAACAAAAAGTCTTGCACAATTAACTAGATACATGTATCACAAATTACTAGATACATGTATTACAAAATCCTAAAAGACTTCTTGAAAAACTAAGAGACAATATTGAAAGACTAAACATCAAGGTGTGAATGCATTAATTCCAACACTCCCCCTTAATGCATTTGCTTGACAACTCCAATGCCCTTCTCGAAGATGGCAAAACTTTTCTCTTGGAAGTGCTGTGGTGAAGATGTCAGCAAGTTGTTCTCCTGTCTGACAATAATTGCAACTCAATTTTGCCTTTCTCTTGTGCTTTTGAATACTTCCTTCTTGATTGAGTTTGATTTTGTAAATCCACTTTAGACTTACAACTTCTCTTTCTTTGGGTATACTCACACACTCCCAAGTATTATTTTTCTCAATCTTCTGAATTTTTTCTGCCAAGGCTTTCTTCCAAACATCATGCTTTATTGCCTCCTCATAATTTTCTTTCTCAACACCGGCAAAGTTGCATCTTTGATAAATGTCACTCAACATTTTTGTTCCTCTTGGAGGTGGTTCTTCATCATCTGAATTTGAGATTTCTCCTCCTCGAGGGACATTTTCCTCTTTCTCATCCTCTTCTTGATTTGACACATCTAAATATATGATAGAAGTATTCTCTACCTTATTCTTAGTATGTATCTCAGGAAGGCCTTGCACCATGTCTTTTTGCTTGAGAAGCTTCAAACCATGACAATTCAAGTGACAAAATCTTTTGTGCCAAATCCATGAATTATCTACAACTTCATTTTTGAATGCATTGTAATGAAATTGTAAAGGAAATTTTCTTTTTATCATCTCTACTTCAACAATGACTTGATTTAGCTCAATTTTATCATAAATCTAGCAATAATTATCTCTATACACAAGAGAATAACCATTTTCCATGAAATGACCAACACTAAGCAAATTTTCTTCCAAGTCAGGAACATAAAGCACATCATGAATTTGCTTACCGCTCCCTTTTATGTTAATCGAAATGGTACCTTACCTTTTGCATCAACTAAGGCTCCATTCCCCATTCTCACTTTAGTAGTGATGCTACTATTAATCGAGAGGAAATTTTTTTCATCTCTAGTCATGTGATTGCTACAACCACTATCAATATACCATTCATTGCTTTTTGTTGAAACATCACATTGAGAAGCAAAGAAAAGATTTTCTTCCTCATGTTCTTCATAGAAATTTGTTTGCTCCTGTTGCTTGTGCCAACAATCATTCTCAATGTGGCCAAATTTTTTACAAAAGTTACATTGGGGCTTGCCTTTGTGCCAACATTTTTCTACTTTGTGATTAGTCCTTTTGCAATTTTACAAAAAAGACTAGTACTTTTCTCACCTTTTTCTTCAACCTTCTTAGAAGAATCATCATGATCCTGCTTCTTTTTTGGATTGTAATTCTTCTTTTGTTGTTTTTTTGAGAAATTTTGAGAACTTTCATTTGTTCTAGACTGGAAACCCGTCTCTTTGGGTTGTTCTTCACGAAAAAACCTTTGTTTCTCGTGTGCACGAAATGATCCGACTAGCTCTTTGATAGAAAGCTTAGAAAGATCTTTCGTCTCCTCAGTGATAGCAACAATGTACTCATACTTCTCTGTGACGCTAATTAGAATCTTTTCCACAACTTGTTGGTCAGAAATTGTATCATCATGATTTCTCATTTTATTAACAATATTCATGACTCTTGTGCAATATTCATCTATTTTTCTAGATTCTATCAGCTTCAAGTTTTGAAACTCTCTTCTAAGAGTTTGAAGATTTATAGTGCGTACCTTTTCGTCACCGTACACCTCTGTTTCTAGAGACTCCCAAGCTTCCTTTGTAGTCTCACAAGTAGCATTTTTTGCAAAATATGCTCTTGAGACTCCCATTTGGATTTTGTTCAAGGCTTTTGCATCTTGACGATACTTAGCCTCAAGATTTTTCATCTCTGCTGTTGTAAGTTCACCATCATTTTCTGGCTCTTCAAAGCCATTTGCAACAATAGTCCACAAACCTTCAGCTTTCAAATGTGTTCTCATTCTTATCTCCCAGTATTCAAAATCAGTTCCATAAAAAAATGGAGTAAGAACAACTGAAGAATCAGCACCTTCATTTGTTTTGGATGCCATATTTTTTTTCCACCTAGCCCCGATTAAGAACGAAAACTTGCTCTTGATTCCAATTTGTAGGAATATAGAAGGAGAATACTTTCTTTAAAAGATGCTCAAGTTTTATATAGGCTACTTAAGGCCACTTGAGATGATTACAATCATCAACTACATCACTATTTATACTACTCAAAATAGAAAATAAAAAGTCTTGCACAATTAACTAGATACATGTATCACAAATTACTAGATACATGTATTACAAAATCCTAAAAGACTTCTTGAAAAACTAAGAGACAATATTGAAAGACTAAACATCAAGGTGTGGATGCATTAATTCCAACAAAAAAGACTAAATTATTAGAGATACGCTCACACAATGTGAAATGTATTGAAGCTAGGGAAGACACAAAACAAGAAAAGAAGAGAAAGAAGAAACAGAAGAAATTGGATGGAGGACATGTTTGGTCATGGCTTATTATTACCTCAGCTACACTTTTACACTTGTATTTGTAGTTTCATAGTCATTTTAAGGTAAACTATTTCTCCTTATTAATACTTCGATCCTAAAATAACAATAATTATAACATATCCAATGTAAATCCACAAAGTATGATCTTGGAAGTGTAAAATATACGTAGACATCACCATCGACCTTCGACTCAAGAAAAAATGATCACACTTCTTCTGTTTAGCTATAGTAATAATAAGTCAGTACCAAACATGTCCTCCATCCATTGCTTCAATACATTTCGCGTATCTCTAATAATTTAGTGTTTTATCTCGAAATACAGCATCCGACTTAGAAGACATCAATTGTTGTCAAAAACAAAGATAGCCTAATCACGTACTCATGAACTTGGAAAAGCGGTTAACAAAATCAAAATCACAAAAGACCTACCAAGAAATGATCCATTATAGCAAGGTTGACACCGATGATATCTTTGACTTCCTGTGCTAGTCAGACGTGAATTCATGTCAAAAATAGAATCCCCTATCAAAGGAAGTTGTTCTCCATATTTACAAGCTTAGTTTCTAAAAATGATGGTAGAATGTGGTGATATGGACATTGTTGAACGGTTTAAACTTTGCTGAAATCTCTCGGAAAAGTCATAGCAAATGTACTAATCAAACTTACCTTAGCTTTCGGTGGAACAATGTCTCCTAGATGGATGACTAGGGCTTTGGCCGAGACAGTTGAAATCAGCTGGTGATGATGAAGTCATAATATTATTGTTGCTATATTACCAACAAGCTCCACCTGCAAGAACAACGATAACTACTTTGAAACTCAAGATTGGACAATTACAAGTCTGAAGACATAAATATTCAAGCACAACATTTTCTTTATAACATAAATGCAACAAAATTTGACAGTCCTGAAAGAAAATATTAACCTTATCTGGTATGAAAACCCGATTCTCCAGGTACGAAAAGATCTCCAAATTATCAGAAAAGGGTAAAGCCTGCAAGGATTATTTATATATATTTAATTGTCTAAAATTAATGCAGTATTTCAAACATTATATTGATTTACCTCAATAAAAAGGGTTCTTTGGTACGACCCAAGTCCGTACCGATCGTTTTATACGCGGTTGGGACTTGGGATCGTACTGAAGAGCCCTTCTTATTGAGGTAACCATTTTTTATATTAAACATAATGTTATAACTTTATTTTATGAATTTTCTTTTTTTAAAATGTATTCAAAATAATCTCATTAAAAAGATATACAGTTTTTTGAGTTGAGAGTCTATTATAAACATTTTCTCTATGATCGATATTAATCATGTGTTTTCAAGATATTATCTTAGATGTTATTGTAAAAATATTACTTATTGTTAGAAAGATTTTGAGTAGTTTAGTTTAAAGTTCTAAAATATTTATGTTAAAAAGTAGATAATTATTTTTGTTTATTTATATATAGATTTTGTATTTTTTTAACCATATTTAATATAGTCGAGGAGAACATAAACTATCAAATTCACAATTATTTTATTGTGAGGCCCCAGAATTTAGGACCCTCACACTTGAACTACCCCTTATATTAAGGTTAAGATAATGGATAGTTTCAATACTCAATGCTAAATCAGTACATATAATATTGTATTGGTATCATTAAGGGTTCTTGTTCGTCAATGAAACTATAAGAGTACATGTATATTGTTGTGCTATCATTAATGTAGTCAATCAATGGAGCTACTAAAAATCAATCAGCCTTATTTATTACACTTAATTACACAATTCAATTTTTTTGTTTAAATTTGTCGTAAGTTATTTTTTGGTGTTTCAATCTTAATCACTAAATTCTTAATTATTAAATACTATCTGAATGGTTAATATTTATAATAATATCTTAATGATATTCATAAGCACTCAATTATCTTTCTTATTTTTCATATTTGTTAAATTTTCTACTTGTTTTGCATCTATCCAATAATTATTACTAATATTAATTTTGTGTTTCTCATTTAAGATTCATTTAAAAAAAAATTCTTAATGCTTGGAGTCTAGATCCTATTTTTTTCCGGGAGGTTACAAAAATTAATGGGAAAAAAGAATCAACCGAGTGAATTTGTGACAACAACAAGATAATAGTAGTATCAATGCATTTTTTTGCACTGAGAGGTAGGACTACAAGAAAAAAGAACCATAGAAATGTTGGTGAAAAAAGGGTTCAGAGATAAAATAGAAAAGAGGTTTTGCAAAGGAAAAAAAAAGAAATGTGAATGAAGAACGGACTAAAATTTGAGATAATCAAAGTGTGAGAGAGAAAGTGTGACAACAAGGAAAAGGACCCACAAGTACAATTGTCAAAAGAAAACGGTTCCCTCACACAACTATGGTTGGTTGTGCCTCAACCACCATAATTTTTTTCCATAATGACCTAGTGAGCAATAAATAAGCAGTTGTTGGCTGTTTTTCTTTAGGAATATTATACAAGTACCTCCTTAGACTATAACGAAAATCTTAGGGACACACCTTAACTAAACTAAGGTCCTATTACCCCCTCGAACACATTTTTTTTGTCATTTTATACATCTTTTACCTTACGTGGCACACTCCGTGACTTCACGTAGTTGAGGTGCATGGGAGATGTTTGGATGCTTTATTTACATGTTGTAGATGGTTAAACTCTTGGGTCTTCACCAAATAACAATAGAGATTGAAGATTATAAGATTGGAGGGTTGATGTATGTTACTGACCCAAAAATTTTATAAGATAATTAAAATAAGAGAGAAAAAATTTGTGTTGAAATTTCTCTGTCGGTGAGAAAGTAGATTAATGGTTGTTGATATTTTGAAGTATTTTCAGATTGATAATAGTGAAAAAAAAGAAAAAGAAAAAGAAAAAGAAAAGATAAGATAGATGAAGACCTCATAACTCATGTTTAGTTTACTTTATGAAATTCATAATTGAAAAAGATTATTTTACAATTGTAATTGTTTTAATTGATTGGATTTCTCCAATAATTTTTTTAAAAAAAAACTCCAGTAATAGAATGATTTTTTATGATGGAAGGTGTTCAATGATTCTATTCTCATTTTTTTTGTCTCTACTTTGTGAACTTTTTTTTTTTTTTGCAACAGTCAGATTAAGGACAATTCGACTTTTCCGACAACATGAGTAATAATTTTAATGATGATATGGAATGATAGTTGTAGAAAATAGTAAATCAAATTGTAAAGAAAATATTAAAATATGGATAAATAGATGGAGTTGTTGTGGTGATGGTGGTTAGGGGCGGAGCTACAGTGTTAAATGGGGGTTCAGACGAATCAACTGACTTTTACGTAGACCCTATATACGTAACTATTCTCTTTTATTGAATCTTTCATTGCCAAAATAAAATGATTTTCTTAACCTAATGTAATTTTTACACCTCTATGACAACTCGTACCCATTTTAAACAAATTAACAATAGAAAAAAAAAGGCCCAAGAATAATTATATCGGCCACAATCATAGAGCTTTTGTAATTTTAATTAAAAAGGACTCCTTATTTCCAATTCAAATAAAAAAAATATATTAACCCTTTATATATTAGTAAGAAAAGAAAGTTTATGTAAATTATGTATTAAGATTTATAACTTATCACATAGATTACATAATAATTAGTGGCGATAGGTTTTATGTCAAAAAAAATATTAGTAAACTTTAATATCAAAATTTCAATTAGTTTAAGATGTTTCATAAATTTAGCAATCAAGTTATTTCATTAGCAAATTTTAAAATTCTCAATAACCTAAATTCAAAAGTTAATCACTAAATTCATAAAAAGTTTTGCTTCTGATTATACTTATATTTATGTTTTTCTTAATGCACATTAAAAATAACATTGGTATATGTTCATATATGTGTTTTTTTGTTCATCTTTACAAAAGGACCAAGTGACTTTTTGAATGAACTTATTTTAAGTGCATTCTCAGTCAAACAGAGGATCTATAATCATACTAATACTATTCTATTCTAAGAAAATCTCATCTATAACTATAATCCTTAGAAACTTATTCATATTGCTGCATGCAGTGAAAACAATAGATTTGACACTCATGTGAAGAGGGTGGAGGGGGTTGAAAAATTTACCATATAATGCATGATCTACTGCCCCAAATTAAGAACACATCCAACAATTCCTGGTAAAATTCAGAGTCATCCAGAAGTTCATTATCACCATCCATGTTTGTTCCCTCATAATTGCCATTAGAAGAGTTTTAAATGCAAAATGTTGATCTAATTGACCGAATAAAGGTCATAAACTCCTAACTTCTTTAAGCTATTACAACCCTTTTCTTGCATCTCCTTCTTCACTACTTTATAGCCACTTTAAAAAATCCAACAATTTCCCTGTATAATTGTAATATGTGTTATTGAGATTAATGTATCTAGTGGAAAACTTTGACAATAGGATAAACTATTTTTTTGGCTTTTCCATTGAAATTTTGTTGATGAAGCTACTATAAAAATGACATTAGTAATTTTCTCAATTTTAAATTCTTTTAATGAAGCAGTTGACAAAAAG